CCCCCCCCCGGGGACGTAGGTGCGGTTTCCCTCCTTGGAATTCGGTATTAATCAGAGCTTATACTTGGACGATAGTCAACAAAAGTTCGAACTGGTCCATCTATCCAAGGGTGCAGCTAGTTGGGGATTCGACAGTAGCTCCCTCGTCGGCCTGCCAGGGGCCCACGGCTCCGAGGTTGTTCGGTCGTTCCGAGTGTTGGACCGGGAGCGAGTGGTTCTCACAGCTGGAGAGGACGGCCAAATCAAGACATGGGGAGCACAGGGTCCATGATTGCAGTAGCTGATGAGGGTCTGGGCGGAAGTTGGGATATTGACAACTATTGTCGTGTTTCTGAGCAGGCCAATGCGTAGGGAGGTAGGCCGCGGCATGGCAAGGGGGGGGATGGCGGAGTCAAGATGCCAGTTTTGAGGACGCGACCGCGGACATCAAAAACCCGTCCGGCCACTGACCGGCACACGTAATATCCCTCTAGCCATACTTGTCGTGCTTGTTCTTGACTTTGAAGTCCAGGAGCTGTTCGTGATAATCGCCTTCTCTCCTGGCGCGCTTCAGCACCTTGACCTCGTCATCTTCCAACCGCCTCCCCACGGCCTCCTCCAGCTCCTTCCGGCTGATCTTCTCGCGAGCCTTCTCCTCCTTGGAGACCTTTATGCGGGGCTTGAAGCGAGCCTGCATACGGATGCGCAGTGTTGTCTCGAACGAGATGTCGGAGCCGTCGCCCCGGACCTCGGGGCCAGCTTTGGCAGATGCGCTCTGCTTAACGACCACAAAGGTGTCGCGCAGCGTCTGGACCTGGAATGTGGCGGGGGAGTCGGGCGTCGGGATGAGAATGAAGGACTCTAGAGGGGACACGGCATCGGCGGTTGCCGACAGTATTCCCAGTTTGTCGCAGCCCAGATATCTGTGCAAGAGCGTCGTCAGTCAGAGGAAGTGGCGCAGTCGTGGAGGAAGCTGCGGACGCACTTTCCGTGGTGGCCCTTGAAGCGGAAGTTCTCGGTGCCGGCGACCTTGTTGGCGACCCAGACCTGGCGCACGTCGTGGGGCTCGGCGCTGGTCGGGTTCCCTTCGACGATGTTCTCGAGGGCCAGCGTGAAGACCTTGCCGTTGGCGTCGCAGGCCAGTGCCGAGGGCGGCTCCGTCGGCAGGACGAATATTATCGGGCCGGTGACATCGCCAATGGCTTCGGCCGACACCCAGCTATCGTCGTTGGACGCATCCTCGTCCTCGGCCTGGGTCTGGGCGGCGACCTGTTGTTTCCGGGCCTGCGACTCTTCGTCGGTCCGCTTTCTCTTCTTGGGCTTTTTGTCGCCCTTAAAAGTCAATGGCTTGACCATTGTAATGGGAGGTCGCAGGGAGAGGCCGTGGCTTTGCGTGCAGAGCACAGCCAAGCCTCCTTCTCAGGTTCCTTTGGACAATTGCGAGACACCGCCGCTCGCTCGCGGTACCTCGTCGCGGCCAGCCCGCTGGTGGATATGGGCCCACCCCTCCGCATCGTGTGGGTCTTGTCTGTCGCTCTCACAGAGGTACCTCTGCTGTCTCGGGATCCATTCACAACAAGTGTCCCCACTCCACTGTGAAAATGGGTCCCACAGTGCTCAGGATTTGTGCAACTTCTCCAGAGCCGCCTGGCGCGCGGGGTTAGCGCCGAGATGGCTGGGGTTACATCAGCCAACTCGGGCAGAACCAGACGAGCTGTTTGGGGTGTCCCTTGTCAGGCCAAGAGCATTCTTCTTTTGACAGAGCCATCAGACGGGCGAAAGAGGGGTGTACGGTGCACGGGGGCATGTAGATATTGTATGATTAGGGTAAACCGATCGACTTTCCATCTCGACCCTCGTCGCAGCGAACAAGCTTTCATCTATTTACACACCCACCCATCCATCCCCAGACACCACGCGACACCTCCCCAACCTGGTCTCAGTGACCTGCACATAATCAACCAGGTCTTCTATTTTCATTGCGGAGTCACCTACTTTGATTCTCACCATGGCTCCAGTTGCACAGGCTGTTACGGTGTCTCTGGAGGACCTACGGCAAGGTCTGCACTCCAGCATGCGTTCTTGTCACCTTGGGAATACATTTCAAGTCGGACTGAGGTTGACTCTTTCGGGTGGGGATTCTGTTTCCTCCGACTTTTGGGCTTTATAGGGACCGTATCGTTCGAGACGTTGCAGCGTGCCTTTGGGCCAGACTCTCTTGGTATTCTCGTTGTCAAGGATGTCCCGCCTCGGTTCCACGAGCTGAGAAAACAGGCACTGTCTCTATCGTCGTACCTTGGCAACTTGCCACAGGAAGAACTTGGTATGCTGTCCTGCGCTTCCGTGTAGTATTCGAGATGGGACGCTGATGGTGTTGGATGCCAGCCAAGTTGGAAAATGCAGCGGCCAAGTACCTGACCGGCTGGTCCCTTGGCAAGGAGACTCTCAAGAACGGCCAGGTCGACACGCTCAAGGGATCTTTCTATGCCAACTGCGCCTTCTATGTGGACCCATCTCTGGCCAGCGCTGCCCCCAGCGACGGCTACACAGCCGACAGCTTCCCCGAGTACCTGTCGCCAAACGTGTGGCCCGACGAGGCGGTGCTCCCGGGCTTCCAGGCGGCCGTCGAGGGGCTCTGCCGTGTTGTCATAGACGTCGCCGTCCTGGTAGCCGGGGCTTGCGACCGCTTCGCCGCCGGCGAGATCGCCGGGTACCCGGCCGGCTACCTGGAGAAAATGGTCAAGACGTCGACGACGACCAAGGCGCGCCTGCTGCACTACTATCCGAACCAGGGCGGGGAGGCTACGGACGCTTCTGCGGACGGCGACGACTGGTGCGCCACCCACCTGGACCACGGCTGCCTCACCGGACTGACGTCGGCCATGTTCGTGGACGAGACGGTCATCAAGCCGGGGTCCCTGGCGGCCTCGGCCCCGGGCCCGCTCGAGGAGCTGGCGGCCTCGCCGGACCCGGTGGCCGGACTCTACATCCGCTCGCGGACGGGCGAGACGGTACAGGTCAAGATCCCGCGCGACTGCATCGCGTTCCAGACGGGCGAGGCGCTCGAGAGGATCACCGAAGGGAAGTTCAAGGCGGTGCCTCACTTTGTCCGGGGGGCGGCGACCGGCGGAAGGGTTGCGCGCAACACGCTCGCCGTGTTCACGCAGCCGAACCTAGGCGATTTGGTCGACATTCGCAACGGCATCACCTTTGGCGAGTTCGCGCGGGGCGTTGTGGCCAAGAACACGGTTGGGTAGTCGAGCATTATGTCTGCGGGATAAAGGTGTGGATAGGCGTACCTAGTGTGGCGGAATAAACCAATAAACCAATGCATGTCGTGATTTGTTTGCGCTACGACTGGCGAGCAAGTGAGCTGCTGCATCTCAGGTCACGTCAGGCCTAGCTTGAACGCGGGGCAGTTGAAGAACGATATATGACGACAGAAAACGACACATAGAGGTCACTGTGCAAGCAACCTTCCACAGAACAACATAAACGCTACCAAAAACAATACTGAAGTGACAGAAGGGCTCAAAGAGCGAAAAGAAATACACAATGGCTCTACCTCCCAAATTCAGCGGCCACCGTCTTCCCCTTGGAGATGTTGCTGCCAGCGGCGGCAACCATGCGGTCCATACCGTAGAGCTGTTCTTGGACTTTGTCTGTCCGTTTTCGGCAAGTGAGTTCGCCCAAGTCCAGCAAATGCGGATTTCTCATCCAAGGGTAACGAAAGAAAGACTCGTCGGTGACGATGAGAAGCCCGCCCACTGACAATCTGCCCTTGTAGAAATGTTCAACACCGTCGCAAAGGACGTGGCCCCGTCGCTGCGCAAGGACCCCCAGCTGGCCTCCAGGGTCCAGATCATATTCCGGCAGCAGGTCCAGCCGTGGCACCCGTCCAGCACGCTCGCGCACGAGGCGGCCGTGGCGGTGCTGCGGCTCGCGCCCGCGCGCTTCTGGGACTTTGCGCAGGCGCTGTTCGCGGCGCAGAAGGACTTCTTCGACGTGAGCGTCGTGAACGAGGCGCGGAACCAGACCTACCGCCGGCTCGCGCGCTTGGCGGCCGAGAGCGCGGGCGCGGCCGAGGACGACGTGTTTGCGCTCCTGGCCGTGCCGGACCGGCCGGGCCCGGACGGCGCGCTCAACAGCGGCAACGGCACCACCGACGACCTCAAGGTGCTGGTCAAGATGGCGCGCCTGGTCGGCGTGCACGTCAGCCCCACCGTCATACTCGACGGCGTGGTCGCGGCCGAGGTGAGCTCGGGGTGGCCCGCGGAGCAGTGGATGGAGTGGCTCTCCAAGAAGACCTCGTAGGGGGTTGCATACGGGACGGGAGGTCTTGGGTGGATGCATGTCTAGTCTAGTTCTTGTGGACGTGTGAACGGAGACGATATGAGCCAAATCACCTACATCAAGTTCCAGTTTATGGTATCCTTCCCTCGTTGTACGTGGAAGCACAAAGGACCGACGCCCACACGCCCACCACAAAAGGGGCGGTAGTCTTACTTACAAGAGGTCCCAAATATTCCTCGAAGGAATATGAACTGCCATATTTATTGTGGTGGGCGTGGCTCACAACTAGAGTTTTGGCTCCACCCGCTGAAAATCAACTTGGCCCAGTTCCAGCACACCCATTGCGGCCCGTTAGCGTTTAGGCCAGGGACTCATACTTGACACAGTGGCTGGAGTGGTGCGCAAATTGGCTTGAACTGGCGAGAATTTAGTACCCAAGTCGATCTCGGCTTGGCCTTCACTGCACGCACATACAGCAACGGTTCCCGATTTTCGCTCGCTCAGTCGCTATGCTTATCGTCCTCGGCCGCTGCCCGCCCTGGCTGGCACGAGGAGGCAGCCGTATGCTCTCTTCGCTTGCCCACACGCGCAGCCGCCTGTCCCAGAACCTCAACCACCAACCGAGGCAATTCGGCTGCGCCGCCCTGACCCCCCACTTGCCCGTCCCGGCAGCCCCGCCGCAGCCTCGCCCGGCCCCCCGCCACGCACTGAGCACAAAGATGGGCCCGCTGCCGCCTTCCACCACCACCCCGCCGCTGCCGGCAAGGCCCGGGATCGGTGGCGGCCCCCAACCGGGAGGGCCTCAGCAGCAGCGGCTCCCGATCCCCGCCCGGCTGCTCATCTACCACGGCTCCACGGCCCGCATCACCTTCCTGGCCTGCCTCCGGCTGGGCACTCTCTTCATCTGCGTCTTCTTCTGCCTCGCCGTCGCCCCCGCGTACCTGCGGGACCCGAGCGGGGGCGGCGAGGCGCTGTTGAAAGCCGGTGCCGGTTCGTGAACATACACACAAAAAAAAAAAACACCCTTTCCTCTCTCCCATTCTTTATCGTCCCCCCCCCGTCAGGACGCCGCTGCTAACATCCCGCGATCTCCCCTCCCACCTCCTACGCCCAGCCTTGCTCTCCGGTCTCGTGCCTTTTGCCTTTGTGTACCTCTCCACGGCGCCGTTTGTCGCCTTCATACATCTGCCGCTCCCTCCGTTCGCTAGGCAGAGCAAGGAGCTGCTCAAGAGGTTCGTCGCCAGCGTGCCCGAAACGACCAGCCTCGAGATCACCACCATCAGTCTCATCGGCAAGCCTCGCGTCACTCGCGTCTCCGTGGCCAGCATGGTCCCCACCAGCCAGCGCTTCGGACTTGTCAATTACGTTGTTCGCCCGCCACCGCCCGCTCCCGCCCGCTCTCCGCTGAATCGCGGGCCGCCAACCAAGTTCAGCATCCAGCACAACTCCCAAAGGGACGCTCGCGAGGCCTGGGTGTGGGACTCGGTTGCCGCCGCTATTGCCCGCCGGTCCGCCACCTGAAAGGCCTCCGGGCCGGCATGGTGCCACGTGCTCCAAAAAGGTCTTGTTTTTGTTCTACAGTTGATACCATGGAGTGCCTTCCGGAGTTCTATCTCCTTCTCATTTATCATCAACCCTATTTTTCCCTCCATTCTTTTGTAGTGTGTGTGTGTGCTTCCTCCCTTGCCCAGCATGTCGCGCCCGCACACGAAACTGTGACAACACTACCCTTGATACTTTTACAAACCCCTGGCGCCCGAAGCCTATGCTGGCATTCGCGCCATGAATGCTATAACGCCCAAGAGACGTAAGATTGAAGTTCCAGTCCCAATGGCCAACCAAACAAGAAACGTATCCAGTCAAGAAAAAGAAGGAGATGAATAAAGCAAAGCAGCTTGAGTTTCTCCTGTTGTCATAGAGAGAATGGATAAAAAGTAGATGCGGCGTGAGTCCATATGCGAAAGGAAATGGAGGCGTTTTCCTAAATAAGAAAGCCGGGTCGCCGCCAACAGTCAAACACGTAGGCAGACCCAAAGGGCCGACACATGCCAAAAGATAGATCTAGTGTTTTAATGACACTGACAGCAGCGATTTTGGTGTACAGATCTGCCAACTGAAAGTTGGTCATAAACAGAAAACAGCATAGAAACAAGGACAAACCGAGGGCAGAATTGGGATTTCAGGACGAAGATAAAATTTGCACGCCGAGGTGCAGGTGGTTTAAGCAAGGGATATGGGCATGTGCATTTTTGGGTATCAAGGGGAGAGAGTATGGGAGTCGTGGCTCGATATCATAACGCGGCTGAGGCCGTTGTAGGTCCATCAATTCCGACAGGTATTCATAGGCATCGTAACAATCGCGGCCGATAACCGAGAGCCAAGCCGCATGGGCGCGGCAGCGTCTCAACGGTGTTTTGCCATGGATAGACCGCTTGCATCGTAGTCCCAGGCCCGCTTCAGCCCGCCCTCGTAGACGCTCGCCACCGACTCCTGCCACATGGCCGGGGTGACAAAGGTCTGGACGGGGGCGTGCGTGGGGTAGGTCTGCGCCGGCGTCTGGTGTATGCTGTTGGGCATGGTCCCCTGCACGGCCTGGATGTCCTGGAGAGTCGGCACTTCGGGGGCACCTGGTAGTCCACTTAGAGACGTGTTCCGTCCGACACTGGACACATGCTGAGGCTGAGGCTGGGGCGGGGGCTGGGGCGTACCGAAGGTCGTGTTCCACTGGCTGTTGGTCCACAGAGTCAGCGATGCTATTCAAAACAGCTCCTTTTGTCACGGGGCGGACTTTGGCCGGTTGGTAAGGGGCGCTTACTCAAACAGGCGGCTTGGGTTCCAGGCAGTGGCGGCGTCCGCGAGAGGGAGAGATTGCTGTGGTGGCATTCGAGGAGCCTGTGAGCCTGGCACTCCCGACATCAAGGCTGCGGCCTGGGCAGCGGGCGACGAGTCTCCTGTCCTATCGCTGGGGCCTGCGGATATGGGAGGGGAAATTGGGTGGCTGATGTGACTGACATGCGGGGGATGCTGATGTGTCTGATGCTGCGACTGTTGGCGGGGCGGCGTGAGCTGTTGCGTAAGTTGGCCGAGGGCCCGAGTATCGATCATTGGCTGACACCCGCCGGCTGTCCGCGAGCCGACCGACCTGGGTGGCGTTGCCAACGTCGAATGTGGGCTGCCGTACGGAAAGCTCGGCTTTAGGACAAACGGCTTGCGCGTGTCGGCCGAGAAGGCTTCGCGCACCGCATCCACCTGCCGTTGCATGTCTGGCATCGGCCACGCCGCCATACACTTCTCCAGCAAGCGCATGTGTCGTGTGAAATACTCGCGGGCGTCCGAGTTAAGATCAGGATCGGGAGACGTGACGGCAACCTTGGAAGCCCCCAGCACGCGTTAGCACATCAACTTGCCCGAGGCGAGGACGGAGAGATACATTTGTCGCCACTTCCATGGCGCAGGCGCAACGCAACTCACCAGGTGCAAGACGATGCATGTCAGAATGGCATATATCGTGAAGTTGATGCCGCGCTGCATGCACTGCAACCCACCAAGGCCAAAGGACCCCAACACGGCCTCCTCCAGGCGGCAGAGAAACTTGGCCGAGTTGTGGCAGACGAGCATGTGGTGTTTCCACTGGCCGTCCCCGGTGGTTGGGTCCAGGCATTGGAGCTGCGGCCGGTGCAGCATGATGACGCTAAGGTAGTGGTACGAGTGTAGGTTCCCGATGAACGGCGAGGCGAGCCATGGCGACGAGCCGTCAGGCGGGAAGTTGACGGCCAGGTCCGAAGGCAGTTCGTTGAGCCATGCGTGTAGGAGCGGCGTGAGCCGGACGAACTCGGTATCCAGCCCCCACTCGCGGGGGTTCTTCCTTCTCACGCGCGCGTAAGTCCTGTTCATGCGAGCCACGTTGGCAACGACCCGCGTCAAATAAGCCAGGTTGCGGGCCACATGGTACTCGGACTCATCGATGCCGGCGACTAGCCGTGGCACGCTCAAGTCAACTGTATTCTCCTTCACGGATAGGTCGGTTCGTCCTAGTGGTGGTCCGCGTTAGTCGTCCCGTCCATCATGGCACCGCTCCTGGAGCCGAGCCTCACCTTGGGGCGAGCCGATCATGACCTCGCACACAAATATCGTTTGCCATAGCCGAGTTTTCATCAAGCACTCCGATGGACTCGAATTGCACGGATGGCCGTCCTGATGATCCAGATAGTGCTCGTCCAAGCCCAGATCCTTGCCCATCTGAACGCAGTGGACAATGGCCATCCAAGACCGATAGTAGTAGCCTCGCTTGGGGGCTGCTTCCCTTGCTTTCAAGACTATTAGCAGGGCTTGGAGGGTGCTGACCCGAGGGACGTCCATGAACGAGTCCAAGTGACGGGTTGCGAGCGCGAGCCATTGCTGACCGTCGCCAGGGTCGTCCGCGAGGCGCCCTGCAATGGCAAAGACGGCCTCCAGAACCAAGGGCGACATCGACTCCCTATTGTTGTGCCACTGGTCGTAGAAGGCTATCTTGTCCAGGACCGGCACGTAGGGGTGCACGTGGGAGAAATACAGATCAAAATAGTGAAGTGCTGTTTCTTCGTCCGGCATGAGCTCGGGAGGGATCCGAATCTTGAGGCCGGGCCCGGAAGGAAGAGGCGGCAACGAGCTTTTGAACTCGTCATCGTCATTGAGTACTGGCTCCTCCTCCAGCTCTTTCGCGCGCATCTTATTGTTGAGATATGGTGCTGTGACGGATGTTAGCTGGCTAGGTAGCGAACAACCAACTATCGAGTGTCGATCGTGGGGGCGAGTAGGCGGGCGCCGGCAGCAAAATCATCACCGGGGCAGCCCGAGACCTGCAGAGTGCAGAAACATACCTGTGCCAGCCTCGTTGAGCCTCAGTGGTCCCAGCAAATCAGCGAGATCCTGGCCATGGGTTTCAGTGGTGTATGATTCGGGCGGAGAGTTCGACCGCGTAACCCGCTGCATTGGCGGCGTTGGGAAGACGTCCGGAGAGCCAAACGAAGGGTCACCAAGCCCAACGGAGGGCGTGTTGCTGGTGTACTGAAGGGCAGCGCCATGCGTCGAGCGTGTGTCCGTATAGCGAGACGGGTTATAAACGGTGCCGGACGAGCCACCATACGGGCTTTGTGTAGCATATGCTTCACTAGCGGATGTGGCCGGCGCGACAGAGGTGAAGAGCTGCTGCTGCGGCTGGCTATCCGCAGGAACATGGGTTAGTGTAGCGCCGGACTGGGCCGAGGCATTGTCATAGTCAGAGTCCAGCAGCTCGTACGCCTGGCCATCGGCAGATGTGCCATCGAGGCCGTTTGGGCGGACGCAGTGCAGCTTGAGCCGGATACATGCGGAACAGGGCCACGTGTTCGTAGTGGCGGCATCGCATTTTATCTTTCTCTGCAATTATTTGGTGTCAGTCTCCGGGTCGTGGGGATTGCCCATGAGGACAACGCTGATATGGTCAATGACGAAAAGGGATATCTGGTGTGGGTTGTGCAAATGGACGAGGAGGCAGGGGACCGGAGGCGCCGCCTCGGGGGCGCCATTGGGAAGGGGCCAGAACGTACGCGTCTACAGCCCTCGCATGCCCTCATCACTATTGGATATTAGTCTCAATACATAGCCCTGTGGCCCATGCCAGGACAAAGAATCCGAGATAGGCCGGCAGCGTCTGCTCCCGGTTGCTTGGGACAGGTGGAGGGTTGCTTACCCTTCAACCGCTTATGCCGGTTATGCTCATCCACGAAGACATAGTCTACCAAAAACGCCATGATTTATCGTTAGCCCAGATCTTCCCATTTGGTAGCCAGCGCATATTTGGCGACTGTTGCACTCCCGCGCCAGCACCAAGGCGACGCGCCACATGCAGGAAACCCCCCGGCGGAGGGCATGTCCACTAGACGGCAAGAGATGGGAGTCGGAGACGAAGATTAGGTGGTGGGCGCACTCTTTTGTGTTTCTCTGGGTTGCCGGTAAGTCTGCTGCGGTGCAAAGGAGAAGTTGCTCATCTGGGCGCTCTGGAGGAGCACCCGGGGCTGATCGGCAGCCATGCGGCGTGCGTGCGATGGAATGCGGCGTTCTGGCGGGATGCTGGGACCGGTGACGGCCGGACAGGAGATTCGGTGTGTGGGTGTTGCAGCCCTAGCGGAGATGCAAGGACGTGCCTACTGCATGCGACTTCGGTTTAGGAGCGGCGTGCGCCCGCGTGTGAGCCAGGGACAACGAGCAGGATATGGCGTCAAGGCGCAGGCCCAGCCTTAGCAAGGGCTGTAGTTTGGGATCGGAAAGCAATGGCAATCGGCTCGGTCGAGTGTGGGCGGGGTAGCAGATCTCGCGGGCTTCGCATGCAAAATCGAGCGTGTTTGTCTGGGAGGCCAGAAGGAGCGCGAGCAAGATGTCATGGGACTCGGGCGGCCTTGTGCAGCGCAAGTGCAGTCGTGGAGGAGGTTGGACCGTCTCGGGAACGGATCGAGCCGGTTTGGTGGTGATTCGTCGTGGGGGGGAGCAGAGCCAGTCGAGCAGAGCCAGTCGGGACAAGTCTGGGTTGGAGCGCACCACCAGGGCGCAAGTCGTGGGCGCTTGGGTGGACACAGAGAACCTTGTCCAGTGGGCGATCGACGCAGCACGAGGTGAGGAGATTACGGTGCAGCGTCGAGCCTTCAATCCTCTTTCACGTGCGCGACAGGGCCCGACAGTGTAGGAGGCAGCGAGGGAGCTCTTATTGAATCAGGCTCGAGTGCTGGGGTTGCGGCCGCCAGTCTAGACTTGGCTGACCGCTAGTATTTGATGGAGCGATGGCGATGGCGACGGCAGGCCATGTACCGAGGCTGCAGCGCAAGTGCGGAGGTGGTAGGGGAGGTGTACCAGGTAGTATGCAAGTCACCGAGCAAGTCACCGGTGGCGTTGGCTGCGAGGACTAGCAGGCTGCCGATACGTGTGCAGCGTGGCAGCCAAGGTTCCGCCTGTTACGTGGCTGCTTTCAGCGCCTGGGCTCGAGATGCATGCATACACAACGGCTGGATGGCTGGTGTGCGCGAGGCAAGAAGAGGCGTCGCGCGTGTCATCCCAGGATACCAGAGGAAACAAAAAAAAAAAGAAGAAAAAAAGGGGGGAGATGGAGGCAAAGACAGCCCGTTAATGCGCCCAACCAGCCGACATCAATTGGCGGACGACAGTAGGCTGACGGCCAGCGATGTTTCAGAAGGCTCGGGTGTTTCCTGTCTGGTGTGTTCGCGCCCGCGGGTTCCTTGGGACTGGGTGCATGGAAAGGGGGGGCGTGTGGCGGGGAGGGGCAGGGCAGGGTAGCAACCATGGAGGCTGATTGGCCTCTGGTGCGAATACCCGCCCGATTTCAGATGGTGAGGAGAGGGGAAAGGTGGGCGAGGGAAAAAAAAGAAAAAAAAAAGCTTCGAGAAGCATGAGCGTCCCGGAACGGTAATAGATTACATGCGTCTATCTGCAGGGCAAAGGGGGGTCACAAAAGCACCGCATTGCCCGTCTAGTCGCAGGAAAACTGGCCATGAAAGATGCAGGGGCGAAGATTACGACAATTTCAAGGGGCGTGCATCTTGGTACGGTTGAGTGGAAGACCCAAAACCTGGACAGAAAAAATTAAGCCGGGAAATATGAAGAGCATTACCAATCACCCAACAACCTGCTGCCCGGAGCTGACGGATGAGCAGAAAAGAGGATGAGAGGTTGGTAGCGTCGTAGCACGCAGTTGATGGTCGACAGCTGGCCAAGAAGGCTGGTGCACCAAAGATGGAGAGACCTGGCGGGGGGGTTGGCTGTGGAGCCTCGCTACACGCACTGCCACCATCAAGGGACTGTCCTGCACCACACCAAGATCGGTCCGATCAAGTACCTGATGTCGGTATAGTATACCGGACGGTCATCTGCTTAGGTATCCGGGCATGGACTGGTGAAAGAAGGCAGAGGAGAGAGAAACATACAGCAACACGAAAGAGACCGTGATCATCCCCCGTCGAGGGTTAAAGTTGGCAGACTAACATATCTAGAGCGAAGGAGACGACAAAAAGTAGTGTCTACGAACAACACACAACAACAAGTCGGAAGCTTAGATCTCCAGTCCCCATAGTGGTGCGTGCCCAGTCTTGTTGGTGGTCGGGGAGGGGCGGGTGTGGAGGCGGGTGTGGAGGCGGGCCCGGGACTCGACAGACGAGAAAATACCCACCACCATGCACTGACAAACCGCAATGGCCACCACCACCATCACCACCACCATCACCACTACACCACGCTGCTGCCTTCCAGAAAATCCCGTGCGTTCGTGCTTACCTGCCAAGTAGAGAGGCATCACGGGACACCCTGCCAAAACAACTTGAACACACCAAGCGCACCAAACACCAAACACATTCAAGATGCAAACATCCAGTCCAGATAATGCTAACCCGACCATCCTGAGCATGACACAGCTGCCCTCACGGGCGCGGCACGTGAGCGGGGTCGCTGGCGGGCCAGAGTCAAGATATGCCGACCTGCTAGCGTCCAGGCCAACCGCCTCCTTTTGGGGCTTCTCGGACGTCCTGTCGTCGGACGAGGGCAGCGACTATGGCGCCGAGCCCATCGACGAGCAAGAGATTTATGGTTAGTTTGTTTGTTCTGCACGCACCGTCGCTAACCCCTACCCCCTAACCCGACCCTCGCCCGAGGGTCTCGACTAGCCATCGCTACCACGAATACCACCCTTCTCTTATTTATTTTTTCCGATCTAGGCAAAAAACCTGTTGGGTCCTAGTGTCTAACCTCGCATCACACAATCTCTCGGACCTGCCACCGTCCGCCCGCCACAGACCTGATCTCCACAATCTCTGACCCGGAGCACCCCCATACCCTGGGCCAGCTGTCCGTCATCAACCTCCCCGACATCCATATTCTCCAGACGTCGCCCACCCTTGTCGAGGTGCTTGTCGAGGTCACACCCACCATCACCCACTGCTCCCTCGCCACCGTCATTGGCTTGGCCGTCCGCGTCCGCCTGGAGCAGGCCCTACCGCCGGGCTACCGCGTCGACGTCCGGATGAAGGCCGGCTCCCACGCCCAGGACGACCAGGTCAACAGGCAGCTGGCCGACAAGGAGAGGGTCGCCGCCGCCCTCGAGAACGACTCGCTGCGGAGCATGCTCGACAAGATGATGGAGACCTGTGTCTGATGAAGCGCGCTGCTGCTGCTCCGCTCGGCCGCTCCGGCCGGATCGTCCTGGTGCGTGCGCGCGCCCCCCCCCCCCCCATCCTCGGGGGCCCTCGGCCGAGACCTCGCACGCGCCTCCTCCTCGGACGGGGCCGCTTAACTTGCTAGGTTCAAGCCACCCACCTACTCCCGACGAACAAGCTGCCGTGCTTGCGAGCCGAGAATGTGGAGGAGGCGCGAGCACGCGAGCCAACACGCTTTTAGCCCACCCGTCACCATGACACAAGGCACCAATGCCAGCCTCTTGCCTGCATAGTAACTGCTTCGGTCGGACATCTAGGCGATCAAGCGCACATCACTCGATTTTGCTAGTGTCACATTGCGTCACTGCCATTTGTTTCACAATAGCCAAGGCCCATGGCTGAAAGACAGGTCATGTTGCATGGCGCCATCCATGGCGTAGCGACAGGATGGAGTTTTTGGACGTAATTATCAGGCAGATTATCAGCACAAGGAATTGGGGGGGGGGGGGGTGCTGCTGCTATCTATCCATTCGCCTTCTTTCTTGCGCACACCGGGAATCGCGCTTTGTTAGGTTTGGGTTCCCGGGGTTCAAAAAAAAAAAAAAAGCGAAATATCTAT